AAGCTCCAGAACGAAGGTGACACTGCAGGCAACTTCAGTCTTTCTGATATTTATTGGCCATCGCAAGGCGTTAGAAAGCGTAGGTTCCGGTTCCATTATGAGGCAACCTTTTCTCGAGTACCCCATTTAATTGTATCATCTAAAAAATTCGGAAGTATTTACGGCATTCTTAGGGCATGACTTAGTATCAAAAGCGTAGTAGGAGGCAAAACGCGTTTACGTGTAGTCATAGTGAGAAATTTACAGGGCAAGTTATTCATTGGTTGGATGATAAAATCACCGAAAAGGCTGAAGTCGCTAAATTCTTACATCTGGCATTGCACGTTGATCTTACTTACACCCATTTGTTAACCGCAATGCGTGATATAAGGCCATAAAGTTTGTGCGTGTCTCTGACATAGTCCCTCAGGGTGGTTTTTCTGTGGTTTCTGAACGTACCCCAAGAAGTCTAAGAAAGAATTGTGACCTGCCGAGTCTGAACGAGCACAGAAATAAGTTCAATGACAAGACCAGAACGCATAAGATGTCTGTTCTATTTTTAATGTCCAGGATTTTGCCTTCCTTTCGTTACGTCAGGCTGAATTTCAACGAATTCTTAAGTATGGACTGTAGACTATGAAAGGTAGTGGTCTGCGTAAAGCAAAAACAATGGAACCCCCATGTCCCTTTTGGTCGAAATGTTGCCTTGCAGAAAGGTCACAAACGCCTTCATACCTTAACGCCACTTGAGTACGCTAACGTCTGTTATGTTGCGTGAGACTGAAAAGAGGACGTTGGGTATCTGCGTTTACGGCATCCTCGATTTTCCGAAAACAATTGCAAGTTAGGCGAACAAATCCTGTCACTAAATATCACCACGTGAAACCAACCATTAGACTGTGTGGAAAGTCGCTTTTAGGTTTGCGTATGCAAAAATCCTTATTATTATCTGGTTAACAGACCCGACATGGGTCCTTTGCACAGAATTTAGAGCATGTATTCGCTTTCGATTGTCTTTAATTCTGCTATTTTAAGTGGCCAGGGTTTACTAAAATTGTAAGTAACAGTTTTGAACAGAACTATGTATGCACCTGATTATAACTAGATGTGCCTATTTATACTGTGTTGGAAACTGCTCTAAAATGTTTCTTCTCTTTTGGAGTAAACAGTGACGGTGAATATTCAGCTGGTGAAAGGACAATGAAGCGGCTACAGAGAGGAAATCAGGTCGGGAAAATATATTCAGTTTTATACGCTTTCTTCCTATACTCCACCCTCCTCACAAACTAAATTAGGGCTTGAAGGAATATATGCTTCTAATTTCTCAGGTCGCCAAAACGAAATATTTGGCAGACGTTGGAAAGCGAGTCATTATTTTCCCTCCTTAATACTTTTTGTCCGTTCACTTACCTCCACACACGGAAGTGAGCACTTTCCCAAGGTCTGTTATGTTTCTCCTCATTGGGTTTTACTGGTATTTTGAAAGGTCTTCTCCTGGCTTTTATCCACACGGTCGAATTATGGACCGACCTTCATGTTGCGTCGCGCAAATGTCGTTTGCTTCCGTTAGGTCGCATATGCAGTCCTTTCGTGCTACAGCCTGAATCCTGACATTGTTCTCTTTTTCGGCGTCGTCGTATCAAAACTGGTCTTGCTCTGTCAAGTATGGTATATCGTGCGACCTGTGCA